AGTATATATATATATATATATATATCTTGTAGTTTCAGTTCACCACTATAGAAGTTGACCCAACTACTGCCAAATTTACACTGCAAAGGTGGCACAAAAGCCCTTCTGAGGTGGCATTTAGGTGTCTTTACACAGACTGTTTAATGCTGCTCAGAAATGGCATAAATGCATTTGCACAGCAATTTTAACTTTAATACTTGAGGCTGAGGTGGGTCAGAGCAGGCAGAATTTAGTCTGGCTTTTATGTGGCATTGCACACTGAATTAAGCAGGCACAGAGCAGTCTTAACTCTGCTGTGTAAAGACGCCTATATGAAGACTTCCACTTCTGAAAAGCCCAGAAATGTGAAAAGGGTTTTTTTAGAATCTTCATTTTAAATTTACAAATAATATCCATTGACCTGCTTTGATAGAATGTTGAGGTTTCAAAATGTAACTGACAGCTATGATGTCATCACACATACTGAATTCTGATTGGGCTTTTTAGATATCCACCTTATTTTTCAATGCAGAAGCCGTTTTTTTGTGAATGCGTGAGATTTCCGGTTCATTAGCCTCTGTACACTCAAAAAAATATTTAACCCCAAAAGTTAAAACTTATGTAATTCAATTAGATGTCAATTTTCCATCCAATTTAATCGCATAAATCCAACGCAAAAGTTAACATTTATTTAAGCTTCACCCTTTCATGTTCAGTTAATGTGAATGAATTAGATACATTTTATGAAAACTGATGAACTGTGATTTAAGCTTTTATAATACATAAACTTTACTCATTTCCAATAACTTATTGTTACTTGCTTTATATAATCACCTTACATTTTCTTAATTCTATTAAACAAATGGTCAAAAAACATGTTACATTTTCAAACATTTATTGCGTAGTAATTGCTCCATGAGTCGAAAGTAACATCCAATCTGACCAAAAAAAAAAAAGCATGAAAGCAAGACACTGTAATGCAGTACTTAACAAATAAAGGCAACTGTTTTCTGCAACTGTTTCATGAATCCTTCTAAATTGAATCTTCCAGTGGTTATGACTCATGTTTGACTTTTTAGTTTTGTGTGCCCACAAGTGATCAACAAGGAACCATACTTTTAACATCAAACATTAATTTTACATTTTCAAGGTAACACTGTCATATTATTGCATAGTACGGTAAACAATGTGCTTTCTCCTGATCTATAACACAAAACACAAATGTAAATGGTCCCTTCTCTTCCTAAATATTTGTTAAAACAATTAAACAACCAGGACCCTTAGAGAAAAATACAATAAAATAAATAAATTAAAATAAATGGGAAAAAAGAAAAGCAAATATTTTACTTCACATATATCAAGTTTTCAACACTTTTTTTAATACATATAACACATTTTCACATTTCGGCATTTAGGCCATTAAAACGTGTCCAACTCGCTGCAGAGGGGTATGCTGCATACTAAAAGATCTCCTCAGCCATGCCTTCAGGAATGTCAGACCTTTGTTTGGGTGGTGGAATAAGTAGCATTCCACTCTTGTTGAACTCTGTTTTAGCTCTCTGAAACTGAATTTAAGCAGAACATGAAAAACGAGAAACTACTACAACGAGGCCAAGAACTGGAGATGTAACCCAAGACACCCTCAACGCTACTGGAAAACAAGTCATCTGAAAAGTTGACTTCCTGGACTCAATAGCAATATAAGTAACATCTCCTGTATCAAAAGTTTCAGAGCTACAGGAAGCAGGAAAGTGCAGTCTCTTGCATGCTGGAGTTAGTGTCATCAGTTTGTAGAAATATTTTTCAGGGCATTCTTGTCTAAAAGTTTTCAATGTCCCTCCAGTTTTTGGAAACATGTAGGCAAACAGTGAATGTCCTATTCACTGAAACATTTTAATTTTAAGTGCTTGAACCTTTGGGGAAAGCTTGCTGCTAGCTAAATTCATCAGTACCTTCTGGAAGAATTCAAATGTGAACTTGAGACTTTGAGGGTAGCTTAAGTTGAGAGTGTAGATCAGTCCGAAGAGCATTACTAATCCAAAGGAAATACTCTAAGTGTTGTAGCAACATCACCCGGCTCATCCTCATCCTCAGCACCAGCACCTTCTTTGCGAATCACAAAAAGCCCCAGAGTGGTCTCAGAAATTCCTCTTTCTGCTTCTTCAGGGTTGCAGTCCTAAGGCCAAAATAAGTAAATAAATATTAAATAATTTCATAATAATAAATAAATAAATAATTAACACATTTTCAGTTTCACTTAAATATTGGCAACATACAGGCTGGCAATGTATGTTAGGTCCTTAAAAAAAGGGCATACTTATACAAACCTGGAATTCTTTGATGACTGTTGTCATGTCCTCATTGAGGTACACACACAGACTCTTAACATTAACACTTTTACAAAGTAATTAAACAAGTAAAGTTTAGTTATATATTTATAACAAAAACAACAACAACACTTACTGTAATTGAGTGATTGCCCCAAACTGGAGACAATGTGGAATGATGTCACAATGATGAGGTCTCTGAAACAGTAAAGGTGACATATAATTTGAGTTTTGCAATGACAACTCTGCATTAAAAGAATGCATGATCAACTTAATGTACACAATTTGTTTTAAATGGAAATCCTATAAACGTTTATGTGTACCTTTCATATACTCACATAACTAAATGTCAAAAAAGAGAGAAAAGAGCAATCCTTTTACAAAGAAATTAAACGAGTACAGTTTAGTTATATTACAAAAAATATATATATACTTACCGTAAGTCGGTGATTGACTTTAATCAGATTCAATGTGGATTGATGTCACAACAATGTCTCTGGAATATTAAAAACGACATATGATTTGATTTTTGTAATGAAAGTACAACTCAGCATGAAAAGAATGCATGTTCCACTTCATGGACACGATTTGTTTTAACAGGACATCCTACAAACTTTTACATGCAACTTTCATATAATGTCGAGCATGTTTGAACAACGCTTCAGCATAGTTGCAAACATATTTATAGAAAAGCAAAATGTAACGTTACGTCGAGATGGCTAATCTATTATTTAAAAAAAATAATAATAATAGACGGGTAATCTGCCTAAAAAGATGCACATAGTCGACCATATATATCTTAAAATGATCCAAGTTGCATATATTTGATAACAGATTTGATTTTACGCGAGATCCAAACGTTTAACGTATGTCGAGATGACACTGTTTAAAAAAAAAAACCATGCGTGATCTGCTTAAATGCAAAAATGATGCACATACTCGAATAGTAAGATAGTACATTTTAAAATGATCAAGATAACGTTAGCAGGGAAGGCCGAAAATATCTAACGTTAGTTAATTCGCCAAAAAGTGCAGTTAGGGCAGTTAAGGTAAATCAAGATCGATCAAATAATAAAAATAGTTTATGTTTAAGTCTACATCAATTATAAATGAAGAAAATATCTTACCTTGTATAATCTCCTCATCTGTTCTTCCTTAATCTTCCTTGCTACCGTACCGTTGAGTAGTGATGTCCGGTTCGCGAACGAATCGTTCGATTTAACCGGTTCTTCTTAGTGAACCGGTTGAACCAGTTCACCAAATCGGACTGAATCGTTTGAAACGGTTCGCGTCTCCAGTAAGCATTAATCCACAAATTACTTAAGTTATTCACTTTTTTAACATCTCAAACAGTACACTGACTGAACTGCTGTGAAGAGAGAACTGAAGATGAACACGAGCAGAGCAGCCGGATAACGAACGTACACGCCACTGCTGGAGCGGTTCTCGTTCTCGAGTCAAGAACCGGTTGCATCGGTTTTCGGATCACCAGTACACTGAACCGAGAACCGTTTCTTTCGGACACGTCCGATTTGAGAACCGATGAGCTGATTCTCGTTCTCGAGTCAAGAACCGGTTGCATCGGTTTTCGGATCACCAGTACACTGAACCGAGAACCGTTTCTTTCGGACACGTCCGATTTGAGAACCGATGAGCTGATTCTCGTTCTCGAGTCAAGAACCGGTTGCATCGGTTTTCGGATCACCAGTA